TTTTTTTTTGAGATGGAGTCTAGTTCTGTCACCCAGGCTGGAGTGCAATGGCACGATCTCAGCTCACTGCAGCCTCTGCCTCCCGGGTTCAAGTGATTCTCCTGCCTCAGCCTCCCAAGTAGCTGGTACTACAGGCATGCGCCACCATGCAGGGTTAGTTTTTGTATTTTTAGTGGAGATGGGGTTTCACCGTGTTGGCCAGGCTGGTGTCAAACTCCTGACCTTAGGTGATCTGCCCACCTCAGCCTCCCAAAGTGCTGGGATTACAGGCGTGAGCCAGCTGGTTAAACAGTTTCTTTTGACCATCTCAACTCTCACCTGGAGCAGAGTTTCTGATCTCCAGATTTCATGGGAGGCTGGGTCTGCATTCACAGACGTCTGATGAGAGATGTGTCGCTTCAGGAGGCTAGTATGGTGGAGGCCATAGGAAGCAAAGGGCATGGCTGGTGTCCTGAGGGAGACACAGAAACAGGCCCGAGTTAGGGGGTCCCGCTGGCCCAGCCAGGGGCAATCTGGATATCAAAATCAATGACAGCAGGAATAGATTACAACTTGTTCAATAGCACAATGCCTACCCCTCACCACCCCCTGATCCACACTAATATATCTGAATAAACAGCAAAGAGAAAAGTCTTCCTTACCACAGAATGACCACTGACTCACTAATCAATGAAGGAGGGATGAAGTTAGAGAACCACCATTTGGCCACTGTCCTATTAATAACTGATTTGGTCAAGAATCAACAGTGAGGTCATCAGGCATGGGGGCTTACACCTGTAATCCCAGCACTTTGGGAAACCGAGGCTGGAGGATTTCTTGAGGCCAGGCATTTGAGACCAACCTAAGCAACAAAGTGAGACTCCGTCTCTACAAAAATATTAAAACATAAAATAGCTGGGCATGGTGGCATGTGCCTGTAGTCCTAGCTACTTAGAAGGCTGAGGAGGGAGAATGGCCGGGGCCAGTTGAGGCTACAATGACGTACGATTCTGCAACTGCACTCCAGCCTGGGGTGACAGAGTGAGACCCTGTTTCTAAAAGAAACAGGAAATTTCCAGCCTGGGCAATATAGCAAAACCCTGTCTCTATAAAAGTTAGCCAAGTGTAGTAATGCCTGCTTGTGGTACCAGATACTTGGGAGGCTGAGATGGGAGGATTGCTTGAGCCCAGGAGGTTGAGGCTGCTATGAGCAGAGATTGCACCACTGTACTCCAGCCTGGCGTGAGAGAACAAGACCCTGTCTCAAAAAATAATAAAATCAATTTGAAAAACAGGGAGAATCAACAGTGGATGTTAACACTAGTGGTAATCACACAGTCTTCATACATCTTCCTAGTAAATTCTTGTTTTTTTTTGAGACAGGATCTTATTCTGTTGCCCAGGATGGAGTGCAATGATGCAATCACAGCTCACAGCAACCTCAACCTCCTAGACTTAGGCCTCCCAAGTAGCCAGGACCAACACCACCATGCCTAGATGATGTTTTTCTTTTTAGCAGAAACAAGGTTGTGCTGTGTTGCCCAGGCACTCATTACTACTTTTGATATATTTTTTTTTTGAGGTAAGGTCTCACTCTGTAGCCCAGGCTGGAGTACAGTGCATGATCTTGGCTCACTGCCACCTCCGCCTCCTGGGTGCAAGCAATCCTCCCGCCTCAGCCTCCCAAGTAGCCGGGATCACAGGTGCATATGACGACACCTGGCTAATTTTTAAATTTTCGAGACAGATGAGGTTTTGCTATGTTGCCGGGGCTGGTCTCACACTCCTGAGCTCCAGTGATCTGCCCACCTAAGCCTCCCAAAGTGCTGGGATTATAGGCATGAGCTACGGCCTGGCCTCATTACTATTTAATCTAGGCACAAAGTACTTATTTTACAGTGGAAAAACCTGGCTGACACCTTTTCTGCCCAGTGATAAAGGGCACCTGGCAAGGACCAGGTGTCCCACTGCAGTGCTCCTGCCAACAAAGCCCAAAAGCTGGGCCTGGTCACCAGCAAATATCAGACAGCTTAAGGGGTAGCCGCATGCTTTGGATGGGTCAAGGTCAGGAAGGCCAGAAAGGCCAAGGGACCATTCCTGATCTGAAGGGGACTAGAAACATCACTGCACACAGTGGGTGAGCCTGTGCTGGACCCTGGATGGCTAACAGGCATGAGTGGGGTAGCTGGTGGTGAACCCCAAGTGGGGTCTGATGACTAGGTGTGGCCCCATGGCGATACTAACTTTCTGGTGTGGTTATAGGCACTGTGACTACATAGGATAATGCATTTACTTCTAGGAAATACACTGAAATATTAAGAGATCGAGGGGCGTCATATCCTGTAGCTTACTCATATTGGCTTAGGGAAAAAAACACATACAATAGACGTAGAATAAAACAGATACAACAAAATGTTAACAATTTGGATATCTGGGTGAAGGGTCTATGAAAGTTCTTTTTTCTGAGGCAGGATCTTGTTCGTTACCCCAGGCTAGAGTGCAGCAGCACACTCACAGCTCATTAAACTCCTAGGCACTGTGATCCTCCCACCTCAGTCTTCTGAATAGCTGGGACCAGAGCTGCACATCACCACACTTGGCTGATTTTATTTTTTATAGAAATGAGGTCTCCCTATGTTGCCCAAACTGGTCTGGCATTCCTGGCCTCAAGTGATCCTCCTGCTTTGGCCTCCAAAAATGCTAGGATTACAGGTGTAAGCCACCATGCTCAGTATGCAAGTTCTTTTTATTATGCGGGGAAGTTTTTCTGTAAGTCTGAAGTTATTTCAAAATAAAAAGTTAGCTGTGGTAGCTTGCACCTGTAATTCCAGCTACTTGGGAAGCTGAGGCAGGAAGATTGCTAAGGCTAGGCGTTCAAGACCAGCCTGGGCAACAGAGCAAGGCATCCCCATATCTCTGCAAAAAAAAAAAAAAAAAGTAGTTTTTTAATTAGCTGGCTGTGGTGATACATGCCTGTAGTCACTGAGATGAGAGGATGGCCTGACTGGTGACTGTGCCATCAAGTGATAACTGTGACACTGCACTCCAGCCTGTGTGACAGAGTAAGACCGTCTTTAAAAAATATAATGGTTAGGCCAGGTATGGTGGCTCACACCTGTAATCCCAGCACTTTAGGAGGCTGAGGCAGGCAGAACACTTGTGGTCAGGAGTCCAAGACCAGCCTAGCCAACATGGTGAAACCCTGTCTCTACTAAAAATACAAAAATTAGCTGGGCACGGTATAGCTGTAGTCCCAGCTACTCAGGGGGCTAAGCCAGGAAAATTGCTTGAAGCAGAGACAGCACCACTACACTCCAGCCTGGGTGACAGTGAAACTCTGTCTCAAAACAAAAAAACAAACAAAATAAAAGCCTACAATGGCTGAGTGTGGAGGTTCATGCCTGTAATCCCTCCATTTTGGGAAGCTGAGGCAGGAGGATCACTTGAGTACAGGAGTTCTAGAATAGCCTGGGCAACAAAGCAAGAACCATCTTACAAAAAATAAAAGCTGGGTGTGGGGATTTATGCCTATAGTACCAGCTACTTGAGAGGCTGAAGTGGGAGGATCACTTGAGCTCAGGAGGTCAATATTGCAGTGAGCTGTGATCACAACACTGCACTTCAGCCTGAACTCTGTCTCAAAAAACAAAAACAAAAAAACAAAAGACAATTATATATATATTTTTTGCGGGGGGAGAGGGAGATAAGAGTCTCACTCTATTGCCCAGGTTGGAGTACCATGGCACAATCTTGGCTCACTGCAACCTCCACCTCTCAGGTTCAAGCAATTCTCCTGCCTCAGCCTCCCCAGTAGCTGGGATTATAGGTGTCCACCACCACACCCAGCTAATTTTTATATTTTTGGTAGAGGCGGGGTTTCACCATGTTGGCCAGGCTGGCCTCGAACTCCTGACCTCAGGCGATCCACCCGCCTCAGCCTCCCAAAGTGATGGGATTACAGGCAGGAGCCAATTCGCCCAGCCTATATAATTTTTAAAAGAAAAAAATTAAAAAAGGAAAAAAAAAAAAAAAACCCAGAAAATTAAAACAAGCAAAAAAGCCAGGCATAAAAAATTACCGTGCAGCTGAATTCTGCATCTGAAAAGGTGGGAATCCGCCTCACCTCCAAGTCCTCCACAGGATCAGCAACATTTCAGGGTCACTGATCACTGTCACCACCGGGGCAGCCTCTCCTCCCTGCCACTCCCTTTCTCCCTTCCATTCTCTGGAGCATCTGTCCACACATGTGAATTGTAGGCAGACGCCTGGCCTGGCCTGGCTTGCACATGCCAGCAGATCTGGGGTGGACCAGCATCTGCAGGAAGGGGCCTGCATGCAGTCTCCTGGGAAGGCGATGGGCCAGCGAGATTAAGGAGGGTCAGAGGAGCACAGGCAGCTGCTGCTGGGACAAGAGGGTCTCCTGGGAAGTCAGCCAAGAGGGCCTGGGTTAGGGCCCACTGAGGCCCCAGCACAGCCAGGCACGAAAGCCCCTGGGTCATACTCCCCACCTGTGCAGTCCAGAATCAGACTCAGCCTGTTTGGGATGGCACAACAGGCTCTTTGGCCCAGGGCCTCCCCCTTAAAACCTGTTCCTGGGTCCCACAGAGAATTCCATTTTTTTGGCCCATAGGACAATGCTTCTACCCTGCTCGTTGCCTCAGACGCCACCTGAGGGGAGTGCTACTCCATGCAGAGCATGGCCCATTCCCATGCAGGCCATGGAGGCCTCTAGAGACCTGACAGCTTCAGTGATGGCTACAGACACTTAAAACTAAAGGACAGATCACCCTCCACATCCCCACCCTCCAGTCTATGCTAAGACAGCTGCGAGTGGGAAATGAGGCATAAGAAAAATTGGGGCACCCTGGACAAAGGGTAGCACCACTGTCCCTGTGAACAGTGCAACTGACTGGGCCACTCCCTTATAGAAGGGCCAGGTCTTAACAAAGGGCAGCCTTACCTGGGAGGTGGTGAGGGGCTGGCCCCCCCTGGGCTGGAGGAGAGTGGTGGGGGCACACTGCCTTCGGTGGGCAGGAACCATGACAGGTACCTGTCCACCAGGATGAAATAGGCACAGTCTGAAGTACGGACGTGGAGGGACACAGGGAGTGGCTGGAAAACCAAGCTAGTTGTTAGCATAGGCTCTGGACACTGCCTGGCTGCCGAGCACTAGCAAGTGCAGGAAGTCCTGGGCCGTGGCCCCGCCCCTCCCAGAAAGAGACATCCCTTCCCTACCTTCTGAGTGATGAGGCTCAAGGCAAAGAAGAATATGTAATACTCGAACGGATCTGATGGCAGCGTCAGGGGCAAACATGCAGGGTTGCTGAGCCACCCCCCCAGTGTCGAGTGCGGGGCCACCCACAGCCTCCCTACCTCAGGGCCACCAAAGGATACTCAGGGCCAGGTTGAGGCCAAGGCCTCCAGCAGGGGTGAACTGGACTTTGTTGTGGTACAGAGGACTGTCAGGGAGGACGCACTCCTGGATGGATGCCTTCACAGGACCCTGCAGAGAGAGGCAGTGGGGCTTGTGGGCAGGCGCTGGTGCGCAGTGCCTGATATGTGGTGCCCCACATGCACAGCAGCCCTTTGGGAAGGCTGCTGGAAAAGAGACCTGCATACAGAACCCACCTGTGGGGATAGTGCCCTGCCTCTGAGAAGTGCCTGAACAAGAGTCTTTGCTTAAAACCTCTCCTATCATCTCATAAAAAGCTTCAGATGACAAAGGTAGCAGCCATGCAATACCCATCTCCTTTGCGTCTCATCCCGGAGCAACTCACTCCTCAATTTGGCCTCAGGGGACTGGAGGAGACTACCCATCACTGCAGGGCTGTGCAAGGCCCACTGCCCTGAGCACTACTCTCCCTCTGTGTTTTACTTACAGGCAGGTAGGAGACTGGAAAGTCAAACTTATAGTCTTCAGCTTGAAGCTTATAAACCAACTTCATCATTGGGCCACTGAACATGAAATTGAACAAACAAACAAAAACAGGGCAAATGAACTGCAAATTATCTTGCTTTGATTGTTTCTTAACGTTAAGAAATTGAGAGAGTGACTTAAAAGTGGAATAGCCATGAGGAAGCACTCAGCCTCTCTCAGGTGATAAACCTACCTACCCAGGGTCAAGAAATTCCATCGCGATGCTGTATTCCACAGGACTCACACGCCCCTGTAAGCAGCGGAGGTTCCAGCCAAGGAGGACACCATCTAAGCTGCCAAAAATGTTCTCTACCAGCCATGGGAAGATGGTGTGCAGCTCCTGAAACAGTGTGGGGAAAAGCTGTGGGCAGGACCAGCGCCCATTCCTGCTCCAGCTCCAGTCGTGTACCACCTGCTACCCAGCTCCCTCTGAGGAGGCCACTCCCTGGCTGAGACTCAGGGGATCAGCCCTGTACCCAAAGAAACCCTGGTGCCATGGTGCCAACGAGAAGAGCAGCTTTGGGTTCTTCCAGTGGGATACATGGCACAAGTTGGCCTCCAATCAAAATACATCTTTTGTGTGTGATAGAAGACTAAATTAAGCAAACAAACAAACAAACAAACAATTCAACAAAAACAATGAAGAAAGTAAAAAATGTAAAAAAAAAAAAAAGCATGTTGTTTTAACAGGGTCTCACTGTTGCCCTGGCTGGAGTGCAGTGGTGCAATCAGGGCTCACTTCAGCCTTGACCTCCTGGGCTCAAGCAATGCTCCCACCTCAGCCTTCTGAGTACCTTAGACAATGGGCACACACCACCATGCTCAGCTAATTTTTAAATTTCTTGTACAGACAGGGTCTCAGTATGCTGCTTAGAGTGGTCTCGAGCCCCTGGGCTTAAGTGATCCTCGCACCTTGGTGTCCCAAAGAGTTGGGATTACCGGCATGAGCCACCACACCAAAAGATTCTTTGAAACAATGTTTGAAACTTCTGACTTGAACGATGTTCCATCAGAAAAGAAAGCAACATCCTTCCCGGAGTGAAGACCCTGAAACGTAGCTGACCTGTTGCCATTTGCTATTAACTCCTTGTCTAGGCCTGCTACCTGGGCTTGACAATTCCAGAAGTGATTTAAATACATATTTTTAGCATTCTCAACCTTGGTGCTATTGAAATTTTGGGCTGGATACTTCTTTGTTGTAGGGAGCTGTCCTGTGCTTTGCAGGATGTTTCCAGCATTCCTGACCTCTACTTCCTAGATGCCAGTAGCATACACTCCCCATCCACCCCCAGATGTGACAACCAAAAATGTCTCTGACATTGCCAAATGTCCCCTGAGGGACAGAGCACCTGTGGTTGAGAACCCCTGATCTACAAGTTCACATGTTTAAATGTGTCCATAAATATAATGGTCACGATAATGCCTCTGTGCCAGGCAGCGATCAGGGTCAGGTGGCAGGGGGTGGAGGGCGATTGGGAGGGGTGGAGAAATAGGAATTACAGTAAAGTTCTTCAAGGAATGTATAAGACATGTTGCAAAAAGAGACATTGGCAAAGCTATACCTTTGCTGGAAAATCCTCAATGACTTTAACCAAGTCTTGGCACCGCTGTGGAAAGGGCTTATTTATAGAGTCAGCTTTCAGGCTAGCCTAGAAGATAGAACAAAACAAAAAAATCATGAGGGTATTCACTATGCAGCTTTTAGTGATACGCTGCATTGAGTCAAACAGAAATCCAAGCAATAGGTTATGAGTCAGACACATAACCACTGGCCTCATTCCCCAGCCCCTCACGTGTGTCAGTGGCCCAAAGAATGCTGCTAGGAGAAGCTGTGGTTCTGTGCTCTCTGGACCAGGAACTCTCAGGCTGGCTTCCCAGTACCCTCTCAGAGTGCTGCACGTCATCAGAACAGGACTGACTTACACTGGTCCTTAAGTAGGGATTGGCCCCAGGGTCAGCCCCAAAACCAGAAGAGGATATCAACTGTGTAAGGGCAACTGTCACAGACCAGAGTGCCGCTGTGTCTGTATGCATCAAATGGAAGCTTCCCGCCTGATGGACCACAGTGATTACACTGTTGTGACCATCAATAAGAATGCCCAACAACATCAGGGCTATGGCAGAAGCTCTTAAACAAGCTGTGCTTTATTCAGTAAACAGTGAACCTACTAAACAACTGACCTTAAAACACAGGGCAGGCAAATATAGATGGCTTCAGCCAAGTAGACACTAATCACGAAGGCAATGGAGGGGCCAGAAAAGACTCAAGACAAGGACTAATGAGATCTACCCACAGTCATGGGATGTGAGGAATGCACTCTGACTACAGGGAGAAAAGGGGCATCTGTGCAAATGGATTAAGATCAGGAGAAACTGCTAGAATTTCAATGTAGAGAGCTTTGCCAAAGGATATCTAAGGCCTTGTCTACCTCCATATGAGGGTGGATTTCACTGGGTTTGAGACAGAGATGGAGACCTGAGCTGTCTGGCCATGGGCCAGGCCTGTTGGCTTCAGTGGGGTGCACTAAGGAAGAATGTCCTTCCACATAAATGTTCACAAAAACACCTCCTAAGAACTAAAATTAGGAACTTCCATCACCAATACTTACTTCATACCTAACTTCTCACTTCTCAGTGAGTTCTCAGTATCATATTTTCTTCCTTTTGAGTCTTTACTATGTTGCCCAGACTGGTCTCTAACTCCTGGGCTCAAGTAATCCTCCTGCCTCAGTCTCCTCAGTAGCTGAAACTCCAGGCATAAGCCATTGCACCCAGTTCTCAGCATCATGTTTAATACTTAAAGTGCAAACCTAGCAGCCCCCAGCACAACTGTCTCCACTTTTCACTGATGACAGTTATGATTATTAGAATGCTTCATATCTATTCAAGAATTTCCAGGTCATGAACAGTCTGATATACATGCTTCTCACTTGCTCCTCTTCCTCCTATGCCCTTGGGAAGTAGAGAAAATAGCATTTGAATAAATTTGTCTTGAGGTTGAGTAACTCCAAGGTTCTTTAGTATTAAGGAAGCACAGTCAAGCTTAAGGAGTCTGGCATTGTTGACATCACATGCCCCTAAAAAACAACCACTACAGGGCTCTTCAAATCAGTGGGAAGAACACTCAAGTCCCACAGCTACAGAACTATGGCCACACTGACACTCATGCAGGCGGTTGATAGTTACCAGTAGAAAGCTGGGCTGCTGCAGGTGAGGGAATGCCATAGCAGCCTCCAGTGGAGAGTCCAAAATGGCCTTCTTAGCAAACCACTGTGGAAAAACAAAGATGAAAGCTCAACATCTGCAACACAGCAGAATGTTTCCATTTTATTTTTTTAGAGACACAGTCTCATTTCGTTGCCCAAGCACAACATAGCAGCACAATCATAGCTTACTGCAATCTCAAACTCCTGGGTTCAAGTAGTCCTCCCACCTCAGCCTCCTGAGTAGCTGGGACTACAAAAACGTGCCACCAAGCCTGGCTAATTTTCTTTTTTGTTTTTTGTCGAGACAGGGTCTCGCTATGTTGCCCAGGCTAGTTTCAAGTCCTAGCCTCCACGGATCCTCCTCTGTTGACCTCTTAAATGTTGAGATTATAGGTGTGAGCCACTGCACCTGGCCCTAACGAAATATTACATAGTTTCACAATACCCAGGAGAACATCTGTGTAATGTGGCACGCATTACATTAACAATTCTCATGTCTTTCTTATTTTTTTATTTGAGACAGGGTCTTGCTTTGTTGCTCAGGCTGGAGTGCAGTGGTGTGATCATAGCCCACTGCAACCTCAAACTCCTGAGCTCAAGTGATCTTCCTGCGTCAGCCTCCCAAGTAGCTAGGACTACAGGCACACACCACCAAGCCCAGATAATTTTTGTACTTTCTGTAAAGATGGGGTTTCATCATGTTGTTCAGGCTGCTCTTGAATTCCCGGACTAAGGCCATCTATATGCCTCAGCCTCCCAAAGTGCTGGGATTACAAGTGTGAGCCACCACACCCAGCCAGCAATTCTGATGTTTTATAGAAACACTGTTCTTGGTCAGGCGAAGTGACTCATGCCTATAATCCTTGCACTTTAGGAGGCCCAGGCAGGCGGACCACCTGAGGTCATGAGTTCAAGACCACCCTGGCCAACATGGTGAAACCCTGTCTCTACTAACATGCAAAAATTAGCCAGGCATGATGGTGGGTACCTATAATCCCAGCTACGTGGGAGGCTGAGACAGGAGAATCGCTTGAAACCAGGAGATGGTGGTTGCAGTGAGCCAAGATCGAACTACTACACTCCAGCCTAGGTGGCTGAAGGAAGACTCCATCTCAAAAAAAAGAAAAAAAAAAAAAAAAAGAATTGATCATCGATACTTCGAAAGCACTTGCAGCCCCAGGTTCCTCCCGGGGCTACGCTTAAAAAAAACAAACACTGTTCTCATGCAGCCCACAGTGGCCAACTTCAGAGCCAAGTTTGTGGTACTAAATCCTTGGCAATGCTTATACAGCATTTGTTATACACCAGGACTCGCTCTAAAGGCTCTCTGTATATCTCCACATTTAATTCTCAGTGGCAGGCAGAATTCTAAAGATAGCCCCAAGATTCCTGACCCCTCGCCGTTCAAATACTCATCTAGGTACTGCTATGACTGCATTCTGCAGATACAGAGTCCTAGTTAGTGGACCTTAAGTTAGATAGTAGTCCCCAGCTGACAGCCAGCAAGAAAACAGAGACCTCAGTTCTACAACTCCAAGGAACTGGATTCTGCTCTCAACCTAAATAAACCTGGAAGCAGCTTCTTTGCTCCAGATAAGAACAAAGCTGCCAATACCTTGAATTCAGTCTCGTGATACACAGCTGAGCCTGCCTGGACTTATGTATATGTAACTATGAGATAATAAATGAGTGTTGGTTTAAGCTGCTAAGTTTGTCATATAAGAATAGAAAAACCATCTTCACAACAATCTTATGGGTACAGATGTACTATGAGTGCATGTCAGTAAAGACAAGGAAAGAGAAGCAGAAATAGGAAAAGTCACTTACTCCCACCCAGCTGGTAAGTGGCAGAACCAAGATTCCAATACAAAGACGGCCTCACAAAACTCTCTGAGACAGGGCAAAATCCCTGCATATTACCTGTGCACTATGCAATGAATGGAGGAGAAGAGCAAGCTCTGCCAAGGGAGCCTTTGAATGAGTCATCAGAAAACTAGGATTGAAGGCCGGTGGCAGTGGCTCACACCTCTAACCCCAGCACTTTGGGAGGCTGTAGGAGGTGGATCACTTGAGGCCAGGAGTTCAAGACCAGCCTGGCTAACATGGCAAATCCTCATCTCTACTAAAAATACAAAAATTTTCCAGGTGTGGTGGCAGGCGCCTGTAGTCCCAGTGACTCGGGAGGCTGAGGCACAAGAAATGCTTGAGCCCAGGAGGCGGAGGTTGCAGTGAGCCAAGATTGCACCATTGCACTTCAGCCAGGGTGACAGGGAAACTCTGTCTCAAAAAAATGAAAACAAAACAAAACAAAACAAAACAAAAAACTAGGATTAGCTTTCCAGATTCCTACCTCTCCGCCCACCCAGATCAGAAATGAAAAATGCTCAGACCTAGACTTCGCAGAGAGGAAGTCTGCCAAGTCCCACTGGTGAGCTACTTACAGTTTTCATGGCCCAGCTCTGCCTACTGCACAAGTAAAGGCACTGGGGTGGCACCTGGCAGTCTGTGGAGGAGAAGAGGCTGGGTTTAAGAAGGCCATGTAGGCAATTGTAGTGTGAGAGGAAACAGGAATCTCTGCCGCTTGGCAATAGGAACATCGCCCAAGTTATTTATTTATTTATTTATTTATTTTTTGAGACAGAGTCTCACTCCTTCATCTCACTGCAACCTCTACCTCCAAAGTTCAAACAATTCTCGTGGCTCAGCCTCCTGAGTACCTAGGACTACAGGTGCCTGCCACCACGGCCGGCTGATTTTCCTATTTTTAGTAGAGGCAGGTTTCCCTATGCTGGCCAAGTTGGTCTCAAATTCCTGGCCTCAAGTGATCCGCCACCTTAGCCTCCCAAAGTATAGGCTTTCTCAATTCTTAACCTAGCTATCAATTTCAGTGTTAAAGAAAACTTAAAAGGCTCAGTCCTAAGACACTTGGTCAAGAAAACACTGTGCACTACTCCAAAATGATCAGAGCAGCATAAAACTGTGGACTGTTGGATAAACACAGAGTTTTAGAGGTGATGACGTGAAAGCATCTCTGCTCAGCTTTCATGGGCAGCAACTGAAAGAGTGAGGCCCAGAGGAACTTCCAGGAAATTTTCAAGAGAGGAAATTCAAATCCGGGAATTCAAAGAGGTGTCTTGCACACTCTGGTTCTCTGATTCTGCCATGGTCCCCCTCCCCCATCAAGGTCTTTGAGTGCCCTGCACTTAGGGGCCGCTTCATCTCGCCTCTTCAACACCTACTTTCTCCAAGAGCTGCTTCGGACCCCGTTTGGGGTTTTATTTTTCTGAGTGTGACAGCCCTTAGGCAACGCCAATCGTTCCAAGCAAATTCAGTCGCTGCCAAGACCTCCCTCAGCAGCATGACCCCAATTGTTGTGCCCAACCCTCCTGCCAATTGGGCATCAAGACCCTATTACAGCTGAAGAAACCCAGGCTCGGAGATGTCGAGGACACAGAGTAAGGGTCGAGCAGAGACCCACATCCGGCTCTTCCTCCCACACCGCCTGTTGAGACCAAGGCTCAACTTCAACACAAAGCTCTCCTTCCCTCAATTCCTTCAACGAACGTTAACCTTCAACGAGCAGTGTCTCTCGTACACTACCGAGACAGAGTGTACGAATCGCGCTGGAAGGTGGCACAAAGGCATGGCCCAGGAGAGTGGCAGGGAGACTGAGAAGGGGCCCTCGCCTCCCCATCCCACCCGGCCTGGGCGGAGCAGCCGGGGCCGGCCCCAGTCCTGGGGCTTGCGGAGGAACGGAGACGGCCTCCCCAGGGGCTCGGGGAAGCCGCCGGGGCGCCGGACCGTTTGACGCGCGCGTCCCGCGCCACTCACCTTTGGGACCCACAACATTGCTCGCCTGAGAGCTGGCCGCCGCCATTCCACCACGGCGCCTAAATGTCGTCATCAAGCTGCGCACAGGAGCCACGCCCCGCGGCCAGGCGGGAAAAGCGTCTCTACCACTTTGGGCAGCTATTTCAAAATGCGCCTGCGCAAAGTGAAGGCCGGCCGGGCGGGAGGGGAAGCAGGGAGGGAGGAGTGTGGAGGAGTGGGGGTAGTCCGCGGCTAAACGCGCCTGCGTAGTGGCGGCCTCCGGTCTCTGGCTGTTAGGCTCACGCACAGCAGGGACGGCGCGTGCGCATAAGCAGGGTGGTTGATGAAGGACCCACCCGAGGAGCGCTCCCTAGTGGGGCACCGGCGCGGACCAGAAAATTGCAGGCTTTCTTGTACCAGGCATTTACTGAGCGCCCAGCGTATGCCTGGCATTGGGTTGGGTGCTGCCACCTAAGTGAGCACGACCAATGCAGTCTATCAGGGAGGCCCCGACCGCCAAGCACTGGGCCCCGCGGTCCATCATGCCACCCCCGACACCTAGCACGCCGCCCAGCACACGGTGGGCGCCCAATAACTGCTGTGCTCGAATGACGGTGCGGGAGGCGGCTCAGTACCCGCCCCGCGGCCGCGGAGGCCCGGCGCTGGCGCTGCAGGGAGAGGGTGGCGGGCGCCTCCGCTAGGGGACGCGACGCGGGCGCGGCGGGGCGGGGCGCACCTTCCCGCGGGCGGTGCGGATGGCGGCGCAAGGCGCGGGGCCGGGGCCGGGGCCGGGGTCGGCGGCGCCGCAGGGGTTGGAGGCGGCCCGGCAGAAGCTGGTGCTGCGGCGGAAGAAGGTGCTGAGCGCCGAGGAGATGGAGCTTTACGAGCTGGCGCAGGCAGCGGGCAGCGCCATCGACCCCGATGTGTTCAAGTGAGCGGGGCGGGTGGGGGTCGCACGCTCGCCCGTCACCCCGACCTCTGCCCTCGGGGTCCACCGGACCCGCTGGTCGCGAGGAAGCCCCAGTCCTTGTCGGGTCTTCAGGGAGGTGGCCGCCCGGGCGGGGTGGGCTCACCGGCCCCGCGTCTGTCCCCGCGTCTGTCCAGGATCCTGGTGGACCTACTGAAGCTGAACGTGGCCCCCCTCGCCGTCTTCCAGATGCTCAAGTCCATGTGTGCCGGGCAGAGGCTGGCGAGCGAGCCCCAGGACCCTGCGGCCGTGTCTCTGCCCACGTCAAGCGTGCCTGAGACCCGAGGTCAGAGCCGGGCCTGCTGTTCCTGCGCCGGTGGCGGAGGTGGCGGGCGGGGAGGGGGCAGGCGCGGCACAGCAGCGGTGTGGCCCGGCCTGTGTGTGGGGTCTTGGCCCAGCACCTGCAGGGCCCATCCGTGGGCTCTGCCCCCGGGCCTCGCTGCTAGCCTTAGCAGGTACATCCTGGTCAGGTGAACACAGAGTACATGCCCCAGGGTGGTCCAGGCGAGGTAGGGCTCCTCCTCTCAGCCCTCTCCCCACCTCTTCTATCAGGCCTTCATCCCACAAAGTCAGGAATCAAGACAGTTTGGGGCTGGGCGCTGTGGCTCCCGCGTATAATCCCAGCACTTTCAGAGGCCACAACGGGAGGATCGTTAGAGGCCATGAGTTTGAGAGCAGTCTGGGTGACAGGGTGAGATCGTATCTCTAAATATGCTTTTTAATAGACCGTCTCGGTCCCTGTCCTGCGGCATTAAAGCCTCCAGGGAAGTGCCCAAGGAGCAGGGCAGGCAGAGGTCTTCCTGCCACCCCCTGCCTGTACCCCTCCTGGGCCCAGTTCCTGTGCAGGGACTTGGACAGCCTGGCCAGCTTCCCTCTGAGGATTGCAGGAAGGGAGTCAGACACAGAACTCCCAGGGTGCAGAGGCCTGCAGGGCCTCCTCCCTCTCCAGTGTGGTGACTGGGCTGAGCAGATGCTGGGGCTGAAAGTGTCATAGTGGGGCCTCAGCCCCTGCTCATCCCCCTTGCATGTTGCTCCTGCTTCCGACAGCTCTCTGAAATTCAGCAGAACCTCCCAAGCCAATGGAAGGAGGCCCAGAGCTGGCTCCCTGCCTGGAAGCACGAGAACACCCGCACAGGCATCCTGAGAAGGGGTGGAGAGCAGGCTGCCTTCATGGGGGTGTGCCCCAGGGCCTGGACTCACAGGCCTCCTGCCCCGAGAGGCCCCGGGCAACTTCGTGCTGGCTTCCTCACTGACCCGTACTCTGCTCTCTTTGTGTCTCTCTCTGACCTCCAGAGGCCTCCTTTCTCTCTGCCAGGAACAGTAGCCCCCCTGGGAGGCCCTCCTTTTCCTCCGGCCTGCAGCCTGCGGCCTCTCCGGTTCTGCTCCACAGCCTGGCTACCACACACTCGCCTCTCTCTCCAGGCCCCCCGGGTTCCCTCCGCCTCTCTTGCTGCCTGTTCTCTCCTTTTGCAGGTTGCGTTTATTGGCTTATCTCGGGGGGGTTGGTGCTCTCCCTTGTTTCCATGGAAACTGCCTGGGCCCAAGAGACAGCTTTGAGCTGCAAGGGCAGGACCAGGCAGGCCACCGCTGTCCTGCCGCTAAGCAACAGGGCACAGTTTCTGGTTCGGTTTATTAGTGACATGGTGTGGCAGTCTCTAGACCCCACAGTCGGGCGGGCATCCGGGGATGGGACCAACACCCGCACTGTAAAAAGCCCCACTCCAGGGGAGGCCAGCCAGTGGAGAGGTGGTGTGCTGTGCTGGAGAGCACAGCCCGAGGCGTGACAAACACCTTGGCCTTTTGGAAGCTGTCCCCTATCCGGACAGGAAGTCTGGGGGCAGAAACAGAGGCTCCCACCTTCCCCCAGTCTCCTGGGCAGCACCACATGGATGTCATGTGCTGGTCCCACGGCCACACTCCAGCACTCAGCCCCTTTGCCCATCTCACTCCTGAGTTGGGGGCGCTTTCCAGGTGTCACCAGGTGTGATGAGGCTAGGGGCCTATGAGAGCCCAGGGGTCTCTGATCACACCTCCTGCACACGACTCCCCACAGTGCCCACCTCCCTGCCAGTCTGAGCTCAGGCCCAAGGGAGGATGGGGAGGGGCTCAGGGACAAGCTGGAGTTGGAGTGCATGGACTGCAGGCTGAAATGAGCAATTGAGGGACAAGTTTCCAGCAGGAGGGAGAAACTGGGAACAGAGGCCTTGTCACTCCAGGGGATGTTGCTGCTCACTCAGGGGCTCTGGGTGCCAGGCCCAGCTCTCAGTGCAGAGGGTGTGGCAGGGAAGTGAGATGGTCGTACTCAGTCCAGTGAGAGGCAGTGAGGAAAATCGTTAGCGAGGCCAGTGCGTTGGATCACAATAGCACTTTGGAAAGTCAAGGCAGGTGGATCCCTTGAGTTCAGGAGTTCAGGACCAAACTGGACAACACAGCAAGACCCCATCTCTACAAAAAACACAAAAACTCACCAGGCAGGCGTGGTGGTGTCTGTCTGTATTCCCAGCTATTTGGGAGGCTGAGGTGGGAGGATCACCTGGGCCTAAGGGGATTGCTGCAGTGAGCTGAGACCATGCGACTGCACTCCAGCCTGGGTAACAGAGCAAGACCCTGTCTCAAAAAGAAAAAGAGAAAAAGAAAAAACATCAGCAATGGAGATGAGAGGAGGCTTCAGAGCCCAGAGAGCAGCACAGGTTACACGGGGCAGGCCAGGAGGGGTCGACAGGGCCCCATGCGTTTGAGCTGGGTGGTGGGAGGGGCTGGTGAGGCAGAGTGCTATCCAGGCAGGCCCGGGGCGGGAGGAAGGAGGTGAAGGGGCACAGTCAATATGTATGTGGGGGTTGTAGCACTGGGATGCAGGCAGAGAGGGTCTAGGATGCAGGCAGAGAGGGGGTGCCATGT